AAAAAAAAATGTTGTTTTTCACCTTCTTCTCCCTTAAGGGGAGGGAGGTAATGTGCTTTCTTCCTACCCACTTCTCCAGCCCTGATAATGTCACCTGGAATTCCAGGGCTGTGATACTGTGCATCTGTGGAATAGTTCATGTACTATTACCACAGTCACTTAGCATGAAATCTTTATCACATTTACAATTAACCGTTTAACCAATGATCTTGACAAGCCTGCCCTGTCCTCTATCTGGGGCTGAAAGGCCTTTGAGCAGCTGCCCATGCAGGATATGCAAATGTCTGATCATCCCGAGAGGAGCATGCGGAGCGGCTGCTGCCAACAGGTTCTCCCAAACTAAGCTGGGCAGGGCTGCCCCTGTGTCGTGTCCAGCAGCTGCATCTCTTCTGTGACTGTGCTGACCAAAGTGAACTTTTCTCCCAACCCCATTCTGTTCCACCCTTGGTGGGGGTGGTGGGGATGGTGGGGATGGTAGGGGGAGCCCAAGGCAGTCTAGGCCCACCAAGTACCCACATGCTGCCCTCCCCTGGGCCTTTCTGCCTATTTTCCCTGCTGTAGGATTTGACTACACCCCAGGGTGTGACATGCCTGGGGCCCTGTCAAGGTCTCCAAGCACATGCAGAGAGCAGAGCACACCAACTCTGTCCTGTCCACAGCAAACTCCCAAGAAGCTGCCATTTATCCAACTGGTACGTCTCTATGCTGGGACAGGCTGCAGGGCTGAGCTTACCTCCCTTCTACCTGCATCCCGGCCAGCCCTGCTGTTCTTTCCACACCAGAAAAAAGGCAAAGTATGCCTGGTTATCAAAGGGCACTCTCCACCCAACCCCCAACTCCTTCCTACCTGCCAAAGTCTCTCCCTGCTTTGAAGGGCTTTTTAGTGGAGAAGATTTGAGAAGGCATACTGCAGGCTGCCAGACTGATAACCATCACAGTCCCTGAGCTGCACAGGCCCCACTGAACACAGGCACTGAACCCGTCACCACATACCTCCTCGTCACCCGGCTCTGTGAGCTGGCAGAGCCAGGGGGTGTCCATCAGCTTCCGGAGCTGTCGGTCCATCTCGGTGAGAGCGCTCCCAAGCCTCTCCTTCTGAGGGGGATCCAGCTGCTGCTCCAGGGAGGGAGGGGAGGGAAGGGAAGGCTTGTTGATCAGCAGCAGGTACCAGGCCCAGGAAAGCCCTGGGCAGGCATGAGGCCTGCCCTAGGGCTGAGCTCCTCTCAGAAAGTTCTTACAAAACCTTTGTAGAAACTAAGTCATAGGGTACCAAACCCAGAAACTCCCTTCCTGAATGTGTCAGGTGAGAATGTTAATGACGAAAGCACATCAGCAGGGCGGATGCTTGAGCTCCTCCTGTTCCCTCTGGGCCCCTCAGCAAGGGGACGGGCCATTTACCTGCACTGATGGGGCAATGCCAAGAAGCAACAGAGGCAACAAGTATGACTCTAGGAAGCAGCAGGAGTTTGGGACAGATGCTGGACTTGGGGTGGTTCTAGAGCTCGGGGACCTTTACCGAGTCCCTTCCATGTCCTCATTTCCTAAAAGAGGAAGGCTGGCTAGGCGATCTCTCAGGCCTCTCCCATTGCAGCTTCTGTGACTGCAGTTCCCCCAGGGCTGATGTGGTCAATTTGCAGGGCTGGGTGAGGAAGACTCTGGGCACGTATGAGGATACAGCCAGCTCTTGGCTGCAGGGGAAGGTTCTGAGGTGGGGACACATCTTTTATCCAGAACAAAAATGTTCCTGCTTTGAGAGCCTCTGACAAGCTACAGACAGCTGGCAGGGATGCTGCCAGTAGGAGTGAGCCCCACAGTCAGACCAGATGACCTGTGAGCCCTCCCTGAAAGCTGGGAATTCCAGACCAAAATGTGCCAGCCTCTGAGCCTGGCAACCTGGTGACAACAGTTGTTTCCTGTGCAGCCAAGGGCCTGCTCTAGGATCAGCTTACCAGGGCCATCTTTCCAGCCAGCAGCAGCTCTGTCTCGCTACGCAGAGCTCTGAAGTTATTCACCATTTCCAGGACAAAGCTACAGCTCAGTCCCTAGGAGAAACCAGAACACACAGCTCTGTGGAATGCCAAGAACTCTATCAGCCAGGAAAGAGCCCGCACTGGAAAGACCAAGTACCTCTGTGGTTCTGGGCTTGCCGTACACTCGGTCCATGCACTTGGAGCTGGCGTTGACGGCGTGAGCGAGTTCCTGTTCCACATCTCGGTGGGACTGAGCTATCTCCCGGATACTAAACAGAGCAACACCGGCAGGTATGAGGCCCAGTAGAGGGACCAAGACATCACTCGTCTAAACAGAGCAGGTACCACCTAGAGGGCTGAGGCCAAGGGCTGGCAGAGTGATAGGGACTGTGGCCTGGCCATGCTGACCACTTTGTCACAGTCACTGGCACAAGACAACCTTGCAGATTATTTCCTGACCCTCAGCAGACAAATGAGGGCTCCAGAAGGAAATATGATATTAAAATCCCAGTTTTCCAGAGAGGAAAATGCACAAAATGGGGTCTACACCTTGTAACACAACCAGAGGACAGCGTGCGGCCCCTACAGACCTGCAGCAGGCTGTGCACAGGTCCAGAGAGCCCATAATAGACCACACAGTGCCACAACAAGCCCCGAGCTCCCCCTGGAACCTGCCCCAGACCATTCTGCACATGGAGATAAGAGGACCCTCCTATGACGAGGTAATCCTGTTACACTGATGGCAGAGTCAGGGCCTGGCACACAGCCCAGGCTGCAGCCATGGGTGAGCTGGTGAGAGCACAGGTCAGGGCAGGTCTCAGAGAAGCTCGGCAGGTGGCCTGGGGGCATGGGGAGAGGTGCAAGCAGAAGCCATAGGAGCCACCGGTCCTGAGCCAGGAGAAATGAGCCACCACCAACAGCTTCCTACACAGCCATGCCATTGCACAGGTACCTCCAGGCAGGCTTTGGAGGGCAGGAACAAAGACAAGAAGCTACTAGAAGGCTATTACATACCAAGGACTTGGATGAATGCTCTGGCCAGGGGGCAATGGTGATACCAACTACCAGGGTAGAGAACAAAGGTGCCAGTATCGACACACTGAACTAAAAACACCATGGGTGATCAGGAGAGGGACTGGCCTGCTGGACAAGAGCCTAGTGCTGAGAAAGGACGGAAACTGAAGGTTGGTACGGGCGGTCCAGAATTCCACACACCACCCAGACAGGGCCACCTGGGAAGAGTACCCAGACACCAACCCCAGAAGCCAGGGCATCCCGCCCACAGCCAGGAGAAGAGGAAAGAATCTGGGGGCAGTCAGGAGGGGGAGGCTGGGAGCACCAGCCAGTGTGAGGTCCAGGGGGAAGAGCACAAGCAGCAGCAGAAGGGCTAAATGCAACTGGAAGAATCAGGCAATGGCCAGAGAGGGTCCTAGGTCAGTGGGCAGCAGTGGCCACATGGACAAACAGTAGACAGAGTACCGACTGTCTTCCCCAAGGGACACAGTGACTCTAGGAGCCTTTTCTCAAAGTGAGGGTGCCTTTTCTAAATACACATGGGAGCAGACTGCAAGCCTGCTCCCAGACACAGGGAAGGCAAGGTGAATGGCTGCGACCATGGACTATCCTCAGGAGTCCAGGGCAGGCTTTCAAGTCTGTGAGTGGCTCTGAAAACCACTTTGAGTTTTGGGTTTCCATCTATGTAAACTCTGAGCAATCTCCAAAGGCCATGAGGGGAAAGGGGTCAACGCCAAGGCGAGCAGAACAGGCTGAGCCCTCACGGGTGACCCAGATCCAGCAGGTAAACCGGGAGGTCCAAAGAGGAGCAGAACGAGGTAGACCCCACCTGTGAATGAGGACCCCAGCTGCCTGGCCAAACTGGTCCATCTGGGTGGCCTCTTCCTCAGACAGCATCTCCGGATGCAGAGAGAAGGACGTCGGGCGGGGCAGCTCACACTTCTGCTTATCTTCCCAGGACTTTAGGGTGTTCTCAAATGCCTGGCACACAAGAGCACAGAATTAGACCTCCTGCAGCCCTCAGGAGAGGGTGGGAGTACATGTGACCTGGCAGCAGCTGGGGGCACCGACAAGATAACAGGAAAGGGGGAGACCCAGACTTTGCTTTTCATACTGGGGGAAGGAGCTGGCCCTAGAAATGATTGCCCTGTTAACGGCATCTGCCCCAGTGCACCAAAGACAGCTGTGCTTACCCTGTCTCTGGTCAGTGTCTGTGCCCGGTTCTTGTGGACAATCCGGATATACCCTGGGGGCTGGATCCAGGCCTCTCCATCCACCTGCACAGGTACGCCCTCGTCCCCCAGGATGGAGATCTTCACCGTGCGACACTGAGCAAGCAGTATGACAATTATTCATGTATGGAGCCAAAACCTCGTGGGGCTTTCAAGTGCTGCCAACACCACTGTGATCTTCCTGCCTGCACTCCCACTCTCGAAGCTCCCTGACCAGCCCTCTCTACAACGATGTGTGGCCTGCAGTCAACTGTCCTGCAGTCAGACCATCGCCAGAGCGTGCTGCTCCCAGAGCCTGAGTGCTCTCCTCAGGTCTATTGCCCTGTCCTGTCCCCACTGTCCCCCACCAAGCACTGACCAGCACCAAGGGCCAATCACCGTAGGAGACCCTGGCACTGGAATATGGCATCAGAACCCAGGGTTGGGGGAAGCAGGGAAAGAGGTCCTGCTACCACCAGCCACTGGGGCCTGGCCACACGCAGACCCTCCCAGACAGGGCAAGCCAGCAATGGGTGATGATGCCCTTTTTCTGTTTAACAAAAACAGCTGCCAAGGAGATGAAAGCATCAACTTCAAGTTACTGCTGAGAATGGGCAGAGGGGGAAGAGATTAGACAGTCCTAGGCTGGGGTCCACAGCACCCTCCTCTACCCTCAGTCTCTGTGCTTAAGGTCTCCCAGCCACCAACAACCCCACCCAGCCCATCACCACAGCAATAGGTCACCCCTGCCCTAACTCCCCTCAGCAGCGTGAGGACCCTAGGGAGAAAATAACCTCCCCCTACCATAGACACCAGCTGGGCCCCACCCCAGCTCCTGCTCCAGACAGCTAGAGATGGGGGAGAGCCTGGCCCTGCTGCTCCCGGGCATCACGCCTCCGTGGAGGAAGGCCAGGCCCAGAGGGCTCACTTGGAATACATGTTTGGAAAAGTTACGTGGGGGCTCAATGCCTGTAGCTCGGCGGCCTGGGCCTGCTAAACAACAAAACAAAACAACAACAAAAATGGCCAGGCATTGTAGCGAGCACCTGTAGTCCCAGCTACTTGGGAGGCTGAGGCAAAAGAATCACTTAAGCCCAAGAGCTGGAAGTTGCTGCGAGCTGTGACGCCACAGCACTCTACTGAGAGTGATAAAGTGAGACTCTGTCGGGTGGTGCCTGTAGCTCAAGCAGCTAAGGCTCCAGCCACATACACCAGACCTGTCGGGTTCAAATCTGGCCTAGGCCCGCCAAATAACGACAACTACAACCAAAAAAAAATAGCTGGGCATTATGGTGGGTGCCTGTACTCCCAGCTACTCAGGAGGCTGAGGTAAGAGAATCACTTAAGCCCAGGAGTTAGAGGTTGCTGTGAGCTGTGATGCCACAACACTCTACCCAGGGCAATAGCTTGAGGCTCTATCTCAAAAAAAAAAAAAAAAGTAAGACTGTCTCTACAAAAAAAAGAAAGAAAGAAAAAGTTATTTAACTGTCAGACACAGCCCAGGGAAAAGGCTCAGCCCCAGGTGGCAGGGCTGATGAGAGTGTGGGCCCAGGAAAGCACTGCTCTGCTGGGCTATATTCACTGACAGAGAGGTGAGCATGGGGCAGACCCTCCAGGACCACGGCCACTAACTACCTGGGCGATTCGATGATGCTGCAGCTTAATTACTCGAGAGACTGCCATCTGCATGCTGCCAAATACAGCGACCACCTCCAAAATCTTGTCATCGAATGACGGAGCTGCAAAAGTCTAAAAGGATCGGCGTCAGAACAGGACAGGTCGTCATGAAGACCAAATGAGCTTATGGCTACAGAGCAGTTGGGGCCTGGGCCCATCACATGTGCACTGCTGACCGTGTTTGCTGCTATGTAACGAGGGGAGCCGCCCCCTAGGTAAAACTTATCAACACCACCTTACAGCTTTTAGCACAAATTCCAAACTCCGCCCTTCCCCCCAGCTTACAGAGCCCAGTGGGATCCAAGCCCCCACAGAGCACTCACGCACTGCACACTGCAGTCAGGGGCCCTTCCTCCACACCCCGCCCCACCACATCTTGTCTCTGAGCCTTCACATGCACTGCAGCAGTCTCCCTCTCCCCTCTGCCCGCCTGACTAGGCCAGCTCAAGTCACCCTTCAGGTCTCAGCCTTTCCGAAGCCTTCCCTGACACACCCTGCTCCCCTCTGTCACACCACCCCTCTGTGTCAAGATCGCTTTGCCTGGCCCTCTACACAGTGAGCCCCTGGGCAAGCAGCCCTGGCCTGTCTTGCTTTCCAGGGCATTGGCACCCCAGTGCCAACCGAAGGAGGTATCTGATCTACCCAAGTCATGACAGACCACCCTACTGCTCCTCCCCTCCCTGGGCTTGGGCCCCCATGCCCATACGTACATCATCTTCCTTAGTGCCCCCCCAGAAGTTGGTCCCTCCAGCATAGCTGGGAATGTTGAGGACAGCAATTCCCTGAAGACTGGGCAGTGGGATCGGTCGTCCATCACACTGAGCAGCAGAAATGAAGAAGAAAGAAACACACAGCCTCAGCCACCCCTCACAACATCCACAGCGGGCTGAGCAGGCCGGGCTTGGGCAGAGCCGGGTTCCCACACAGGGAGGAGAACAGATGGGCCTGACGGTCGGCTGACACCTGTGCCCGGGGACTCCCGCTCACCTCCAGCAGGACCTTCTGCTCCAGGTTCTTGTAGGTTCTGTGCAGCAGCTCCTTGGTGCCGAGGACACCGTACCACATCATGTTCTTGGTTCGACTCCTGGAAACAGAAGCAAAGCCTTGCAGTGGCCAGGGAGACATCGGACCACCAATGAGCTAAGTCCAGCAATTATATTGACAGCAGTAACACCAGAAGGTAAGCAGGACACATTGTTGTTCTCCCAGATAAGCATATACCTATGTATGTATTTACCAACAGGAAGCTTTATTAAATGGCAACATTTTGCCAAGAAAATAACCCTATCCTGAAAAGCAAATAAAAGTTACAGAACCTCACAAAAAATTTATACATCCTGATTTTTTTCTGGCTATAAAATTATGTCTACCGTAGAAAATTTGGGAATACAGAAACGCATAAAGAAGAAATAATCTTCATGATTCCCACACCTCTCCAGATGCTCCACACACCCTGATGACAAACTCTAGAGTGCATCCTCAGTCCAGTCGGGTGCGGAGTCCAGCTGGACTCGCTCGTTCACACAGCCCCACGGCCTCCCATTCACTGCACACCATGCTGCCAACATGCCCTGGTCCCCATTCACTCCTCACAGCTCAGCACGTCTCTTCCAGAACCCCCCCTGCTCAGGCCTTGGTGACTGGGCTCTGAGCACACACCCTTGGGGTCTGTAAATTATGAGGCAGAAAGCCATTTGTACTCATACCTCTTTACCAATATTTCTAATTATTCCTTAGGACAGATTCACAGAAATGGGATTTTTCTAGAGAAAAATCAATACAAACTCAAGAAAGGTTAAACCAAGGTTCCAGCACTCTAAGAAGTACTATACCTGCCCCATTCTTTCACTTTTTATTTTACTCTGCTAAATTATATTTTATTTTAATACTGTTCTCAATTATTTTGGACTAACAAGAACTTTTTTTTGGAGACAGTCTCACTCTGGTACCTAGACTAGAATGCTGTGGTGTCACAGCTCACAGCAACCTCAAACTCCTGGGCTTAAGCGATCATCCTGCCTCAGCCTCCCAAGTAGGTGGGACTATAGGCACCTGCCACAACACCTGGCTTATTTCTAATAGGGCTTTTTAAATAATCTGACTCCACTATCACATGCTGTATTACAGGAATGTGACCCTGACGACCCCCTGAGCCATTTTCCTTCAATGAAGAGCCCCAGAGTTCAAAGGTATTTGAGTTCATAGCTTTTGTTTTCCTGGAAATTTCCAACTATGTACCGTTTCTGACAATTAAGTTCAAGAACTCTTTCTAGAAAAGTGCTCCATAACTCAATGCTGAGTATCACTATGGTCACCTTCAATTGAGAAGCCATGCACCAAGGCCAGCTTCTAGTTCACCTTCTAAGCAATTTTGGAACTCTTTTTCTAGAATGGCCATCAGAGCTGTTGTCATACAGCACACAAAAACACACAATAATGAACTCCACTCAGCAAGACACGGCCCCACACTGATACAAACACGGCTGTGAGACACTAACAGACCAAGGTTATGAAACCTTATCAAGTTGTTTGTACAGTGTTGCCAACATAAGCACATGGTGGCAAGTTCATGAACTTAATTGTCAGGTCTCCCATGATGAAAGCTCTGGTGGTCACTCCAGAGAAAGAGTTCCAAAATTGCTCTGCAGGGCAGACTGGCTGGCATGCTTGTGTACCTCCCAAGGACAGTGCTTTGACAGTGACCACAGTGATATTCAGCAAAGAGGAATGGAGCCCTTTTTCTAGAGTGAGTTCATGAACTTAACTTCAGACCTCATATAACCTGAGCAATCACTAAAGGCAGCCCCTCAGGTATCAGTGTGTCCCTCATCAAGGTGGCAGTGACACCCACAGAGGACAGACGCCAAAGGGTCCTGGGGTTCAGCCTGCTCAGGCCACTCCTGACCCAGCAGATGAGGACTCCAAGAAGGACATCTGACGCTACACCAGTGAGTGTTCCCTGCACTGACGCTGCCATCCTCCTGCCGGCTCCCCTTCCGAAGTTCTCCTAAGAATGTTCAAGCTGAACAGTCTCTTCCCGATTACTACTCTAGGGTGGGGCAGATGTTCATTCCCCACTTCTTGGGTTTCTACTGAGAAGAGAGAATTTTCACCTCTACCTGGGAAGAGACTGAGCAGCCCAGTGGGACCGCCTCCTGCAGAAGTGACTTCTCTCAGGCCTCAAAGGCAGGCTCTGGCCCTGCCTAAGGGAGCCTCAGAGCCACCTGGCTCCGCCCATGTGACAGGGCAGAGCCCCCTTTCTGCTGATGCACACACAGACTTTCCCATATCTGTACAGCAGGTACTGTAACTTCTTAGCTCACTCAGATCACCTGCCCCTTCATCGCAGCACCACAGACGGGACTCTCATTAAGAGATGCAGCCCGTTCTGATGACCACCATCACTGGTTTTCTCATGCAGAATTTGTCACAACCTGGCCAGCCCCATGGGGTGAACCCTCTTCCAGGCTGGCTTCCTGGACTGCCTTCTGCTCCTGTTGTTCTGACAACAGGCTGTGTGAGCTGTTTCACCTGCCACCTGAGCATTCCGCACGCTCTTTACCCGCAGCCCCCAGCAGGCCCCTACCGCCTGGAAGCAGCCAGGAAGACTCGCAGTCTGTGTCCCACCTGCACTTCTCTGGGTGTTCATCACGCTTGTTGTTGAAGTCCAGGGAAATCTTTGCATCCAGGCCAATGCCAAAATAGTTGTTCATGACGCATTTCTCTGTATAACACTCTCTGCAAAGGTAAACCTTCAATCAATCGCGACAGTCTCGAGGCAGCCCTGCTTATTAGCAGTTTCACCTCACAGACTCTCAGCCTCTCGGTATTTCTCTTCTTTAGGACAGTACTGACATCGTTTTCTTTTTTTCCTTATAAGAGATTTACTAAGATATAATTCACATATCAAATAATTTACCAATTTAAAATACACAACTCAGTATACACAGAGTCATTTAACCATCACAATACAAGTTTAATGTTTCATTACCCCTAAAAGAAAGTTTTACCCTTTACCCATCAGCTCCCCACCCCCAGCCCCTGGCAGCTGCTAACCCTTTCCCTCGCTTGGCCATGCAGTGTTCAAAGTCCATTCATGCTTGATATTGCACGTCAGTACCTCATTTTTATTGCCAAATAATATTCCACTGTATTATTTATCAGCTGATGGACATTTGGGTTGTTTCACTTTGGGTTATTATTTATGAACATTTGAACACAAGTTCCAACACAGACATGTATCTTCAATTCTCTTGGGTCTTTGTACCCAGTGTCAGAACTGCTGGGTCACATGGAAATTCTAGGTTGAACCTGAAGAGCAGCTACAGCCTGTTCACCATTTCATATCCCCACCAGCAGTGTTAAAACTGACAATATATTTAATGGCTCATAAACTCACAAGTTTGAACTCTGGATCTCAAAATATTTCTCAAACATCCCTAGATCCAATCAGGGCAGTCACCAAATTAAAAAGAAAATAATTTGAAAATGTCCATCCTGACCCCATGGCAACAAAGGCTTCCCTTCCGCAGGTGTACGCTGTCAGGACGGTCGCAGTCTGGCTTTTCTTCCCAGGGCTAAGCCTCCTCCCCAGGGCCCACAAGAAGAAGGAGAGGAGCAAGCAGGAGCCACATGCCAGAAGTGCCCACGGACACTCAGCAGGGTGGTAGGGCTCCAGAATGCTGCCTGGGCCCAGATTCTGATACATTTTAGCTCACTACGCTCTGGCAGCCAGACCTGAGAGCCAATCGCCACATGTACGTGTTTCCTGATAGCTGGCCGAGAGCAAAGCTCTGGGACAGAACTATTTACTAAGCTGAAGACCATGTGACTGACTAGTATTTATGGGTCCTGGGAATCAAGAGAGCCAAGCCAGAGAAACAAGATACAGGAACAGGGGGAGGAGGTACAAACACTGGGCTCACGGACTAAGGGAAGAGGGCCAGCAGCTGCCTGGCAGTTGGTGACAGGCTTGAGGCCTGGCTGCTATGGCCCCAGTACTGGGGCCCACACGGCACAGCCCTGGCACACCACCAAGGGGGAAGGCAAGAGAGCATGGTGCTGTCTCCCCAGGAAAAGAGGGCAACAGGCTTAGCCAGATGTGCAAGTTCAGCATCTCAGATGAAGAAGTCAAAGAAACACCTAGATCAGGAGGGCCCTGAGGCACTGTCCATAGGCAGACTGTGGCCTGGCCTTACTGAGGAAAACAGCATCAGGAAGGCTAAGGACTCTTTCTGTGACACTACAAGGAAAGCAAGAGAAAGGAGGGCACGAGGGAGAAGCAGGCTGTGAGGAAAGTCGTTAGCAGGGCGGTTGAGGTCAGGGAGAGTAACTATGGACAGTCAGTGTGAAGCTGGCTTCTGGGAGGCACGTCTGAGCCCAGTGACAGTCTCAGAAGGCAGCAGAAAGTAACTTAGATTCAGAGGACACATGCACCTGCCAAGGGGCCCTGGGTAGGAAGTGCTGCACCTGGCTTCCTCAGCCACTGTGGCTTCCAGTCCCGCTCCTAAGCCAAGCCTCCTCAGCTAACACCAGTTTGAGAAGGATCCACTGCTCACTGATGTCTCCAGATGGCTCTGAAACTCCTTGTCTGGGCCTGAGCAATGTTACAACACTATGCCCATTTGGTCAACATTCATACTCACAGGTTTTCTGGTTCGGAATTAAAGGGATCGGCATTAATTAATAAGCGACTGATGACTGAGCCCCCTGGCAAGGACCCAGACATCCCAGCCCGAACACCTGCAGAAAATGCAAGCAGGAGGGGATGCCGGTCAGATCCATCGTCTCTGCGGATTCTCAGTCTGCAGAACATCACCACATTTAAACATGTCCAGAACCATCTACCAGCATGGCCACGTTTTGCCAATAGTCTCAGGTCAAAAAATCACCCACATCAACCCAAGTCTGTGGCACAAAAACATTACGCAGTAGAAACCAACAACTAGAAGATACCTAAAAATAGATTATAAAGTGAGTTCTCATTAAATGTGAGACGCTCCACCAAATGATGTCTTAGAGTCTGGTCATACAGCTTTAGGAGGCTTCATTCGTGAGCCGTGAACACATCAGATGCCCCAACCCTGACTCTCCTGACTCTCCTGGCCTCCAGTGCTCCTGCTGGCAGCGCTGGAGCAGCACTGCAGCACCCTCACCACAGCGGCTCACCCCAACCCTTTCCATTTCCATTCTATCAGCTTACTGGAGCTTACTTCTTCAAAGCCCAATTCAATATCCTTCCCAGTGTGGCCTCCAAGTGATCAGTGCCCAGCCACTGATTTAGGGAGCCCTAGCCAGCCCTCCGGTTGGGAGGGGACACTCACTCGGGTAGAGGATCTTGGTGTTCAGCGCAGGCAGGCCGTCCCGGCTCCCCGACTGGGGGGGGAGAGAGGCAGAGCTGCCCAGCGACAGGCTTCCTTTGCTGATCACCTTTTCACAGGGGGCTTTAGACACTGTAAGAACAGAACGGGACACCTGAGGTTGTCTGACATGGGAAGCCCTGGGGCCCATCACAGTATGAGCAGAGGGAGGACTGGGCAAAGGTAGGCTGCAGACCACTGGTTGGCCCATTGGAAGCTCAAGATAAAAAGCCCCCAGGGGCAGCACCTGTGGCTCAAAGGAGTATGGCGCCGGCCCCATATGCCGGAGGTGGAGGGTTTGATCCAGCCCCGGCCAAAAACTGCAAAAAAAAAAAAGCCCCCAGTAAGGGGGGGCCCCCAGATAGGGGGCCAGGGCTCGCATAGTCTGCTAAGGGCTTGGGCTCATCTAGGGAGTGGCACAGGCGGGAGGGGAACCCCTAATCTCAGTCTGGGCCATGGAATATAGGGTCCATGCACAGCAGAGCTCTGAGGAATAGCCATCTAATGGTCACCACGTTAACTCTGAACAGCTGCCTCCTAATGGCCGCCACACAAACAGACCCCAGCAGGGACAAGGGTCCATCCCTGTTGGTTATGAGGGCATGGAGAGGTTCTGAGAGAAGAAAGTCAGGGCAAGATCCCAAACGCTGCTCAGTGAGGAGGGTCCCTCCAGCCGTGGGAGGTCCTACTGGCTCTCCTGGCATCCACCAGATAAACCTCCCGTGCACAGCAGTGATGCACAGAGACAAGCCACAGGCTGCAAGTCCACAGGGCCGAGTGCCAAACCAACTATGAGCATGCCAGAAACTTCCGGGGCCTGCATGCTCAGTCTCACCAACCCGAAACCCTGATGGCAACACGGAGGGGAAATGGACGAAGCCGGTACCTTTGCGCTGGCTCCTCCCTTTAGCAGCCCCACAGCTCTCGCTCTGGGACAGCGGTGGGCACACCCTGTTGTCCGTCTTCTCCTCCGACTCAGAGAGACCCAGCATGAACCCCTCCTGCTCTTGGGTCTGGGCATTCTGCTCATCGACAGCTGTGCAAGGAAAAAGTGTCGGCAACAGACATGTGGGTGTCACAGCAAGTATGTCAACCTGGGCTCCCCTTCCCTTATGGGTCAAATGTCCACTAACTGAAGGTTTAGACCCCAAAGCCCCACCCCACCCAGCCTTCTCCCTGGCCCCACACATGGTCAGTACGGCAGCCACTGGCACTTGTGCTGAGAGGCTGGGAGAGGGAGGATGAGAGGCTGGAAGCACAGGGGCCTGGAGCAGCGGGGGGGGGGAATGGCAGTAGTAGTGTAGGG